GTGTCAGATTAAAAAACTAATCTACAGAAGTCTGTAACCTTTCTATACACTAATAACAAGCAATCAGAGAAAGAGCACATGGAAATATTCCCCTTCACAATAGCTGCAAAAAAATAAAATACCTCAGAATAAACATGACCAAAGACATTAAAGTCCCCTACAATGAAAAATTTAAATCTTTAAAGAAAGACTGAGAAAGACATCAGAAGATGGAAGGACCTCCCAGCTCATGTATTGGAAGAATTAATATTGTGAAAATGACCATCCTACCAAAACTCATTTATAGATTCAATGCAATGCCAATCAAAATCCCGATGATAATCTTCACAGAAATGGAAAAAAATTATCCTAAGATTCATATGGAAGCAAAGAAGACCTTGGATAGCCAAAAAAACCCTGAGCACTAAGAGCAATGCCAGGGGGAGGGGATTACTATACCAGATTTCAAGCTGTATTACAGAGCTGTAGTCATAAAAACAACATGGTACTGGCACAAAAATAGACCCATTGATCAATGGAACAAAATTGAAGACCCAAATATGAATAAATGTAATTTCAGCCACCTGATATTTGACAAAGGGGCCAAGAATATTCACTGGAGGAAAGACAGCATGTTCAGCAAATGGTGCTGGCAAAACTGGATCTCCACTTGTAGAAGAATGAAACTAAACCCCTATCTTTCACCGTGCACAAAAGTCAATTCCAAATGAATCAAAGACCTAAATGTAAAGCCTGAAACTCTGAAACAGTTAGAAGAAAACATTGGGAACAACCTACAAGGTATAGGTGTAGGAAATGATTTTCTAAACTGGACATCAAATGCTCAGGAAACAAGGGCAAGAATTAACAAATGGGAACTCATTAAACTAAAAAGATTCTGTACATCAAAGGAGGCAACCAGGGAAGTGAACTGGAAACCCACAGAGTGGGAAAAAATCTAATCTGCAACACATCCAACAGGGGTTTAACATCCAGAATATATAACTAACTCAAAAAACAGAGAATCAAGAAGTAACCCAATTAAAAGATGGGCTAAGGAACTGAACAGAGAGTTCTCAAAAGAAGTAAAGATGGCTATGAAGCATCTTAAAAGATGTTCGACATCACTAATAATTAGGGAAATGCAAATTAAAACCACTTTAAGACTTCACCTTACCCCAGTCAGACTGGCTAAGATCAAGAGAACAAATGACACCGAATGTTGGAGAGGATGTGAGGAAAGGGGAACACTCATCCACTGATGGTAGGGCTGCAAACTGATTCAACCCCTGTGGAAAGCAGTGTGGAGAACTCTTAAAAACCTACAAATGAACTTACCATTTGACCCAGTTATACCACTTCTTGGCATATACCCAAAGAATTCATCCTGTTGCACAGACACTTGTACATCCATGTTTGTTGCTGCTCTTTTCACAATAGCTAAGAGATGGAAGCAACCTAAGTGCCCCTCAATTGACCAGTGGATAATGAAAATGTGGTTCATTTATACGATGGAGTTTTACTCAGCAGTAAAGAAAGATGAAATCATGAAATCTGCAGGTAAATGGATGGAACTAGAAACTGTTATACTAAGTGAAGTAACACAGACTCAGAAAAAAAAATTGACATATGTTCTCCCTCATGTGTGGACCCTAGAACCAAACCCTGATAAGTTGTGGTCACCGCCAGTGGTGGCCTCTCCTCTTTTCTTGTGGGTGCTGCTCCTTTGTTCTCACGGGCATCAAGGCTGCTCCTCCTGCTCACCCTGTGCTGAGGCTGCTCTTCTACCTGCCCTGGGCTGAGGCCACTCTTCTGCTTGCCTGCTGCTGAGGCAGCTCTTCTCCTTGCCCTGTGCTGCCTCCTGTCGTCACTGCTTCTGCCCAGTCCCAGACCCCAGGGCTGTTGAGGAGATTGTGTCAGCGGAGCCACATTCATACACAAGAGACCAGGTTCAGTGACAGGGTGTGCTTTATTGCAGGAAGGCACAAGCTTATATAGT